CAAGTTAAAATTCGTGTTGTGATTATTTCCTGAGAATTGAAATTGATTGAATATTCTGTAGAGTCGAAATTTTCGTTCATAGATATCTCTAAAAATTTTCTGGAAATTTGGATCATGTGTGGACTTGAAAGACTTTGATTGACTGCTCAATGTTTTGTTCTATAGTTAAAAATAAAAAATAAAAAATAAAAAATAAAAATGTAAAACTATGAAAAATTCAAAAAGATTTTTGATTTTAGTTTGTAGGAATTTTTTTTTGATTCAAAAAGTCTGTAAGAAAATATTTTTTCTGAAAAATTTTCAAGTCTGAAATGCATTCTACCATGTCCATACCGGTTCAAGGTGCAAAGTAGCAAGGCCAAATCATTCTGGCGCTTGGCTACCGGTACCAAAAGTTTCATACTGATTCAAAAGTCTTCTTCAATTAACGAAGGCTCATTGCCTAGTGGGAACTAGTTCCCACATTGGCTACCGGTTCCTGGCAGCGTAAAAGAGCTTTAAAGCTTTCTTTTTGCACATTGTTGGGTCATATTGCATAAACCCATTCTCTCTCTAGAGTACCCACTTTCTCTCTCTATATTGCTCATATATATCACATCATATATTCACATCTTCAAGTGGATTATTCTCATAATATTGTTGCATACATTCAATCATATATTGTGATCTTTATATCAACATCAAGAATTGAAGATTGAAGCTTGGAATTTGAAGAGAATTTGTAGAGTTTGGGATTTTGAGAGAATTAGAGGATTGGTTGAGATATTGATCTCTTGGGTGACTAAAGAGATTGAGACTTGTTTGGGTTGTGATTGAAGTTTTGTTTGCTTTGATATTGGGTTGATTGTTAGGGTTTTGAATAATCAAATCAAGCTTGCTCAAGAACAATTGCTGAATTTCACACCAAGTGTTTGATAGAATTTCTAAGAGAAGTTAAAGGCTTCAAAGTGAAAAATTGTGTGAAGAACATGGCATTACAATTACTTAAAGAAGCTAAAGGTAAAGGAATTGAGATGCTGGAAGCTCCCAAGCAAGCTAGAACTAGTATTGTCATCATGATACATGTGTGATGAAACAAAAATAATGGATGCGGAGTCTGATGAGGATGATGATAAGAATGATGGTGGAGAGTATTGATTTTCTTTCTGACATTATTTCTGGAGATACTGATGCCTGATATTTTGTCTTGCATCATGACATCATATTTTTGTTCAGTTTTTACATTGTCATAACTTGATATTTTTGGATATTATCTTTTGACTGTTGACATGTAATAAACTGTTTATCTGTTTCTCTTCTCATTATTTCTTCACTCTATTTATTTCTTTGTCAATTTTGTTCCAAAAAGGGGGAGAACAAGGTTACATTAAGGGGGAGAAATTAGATTTTCAAAAAAAAAAACAAAAAAAATGGATAATTTATTCAGGGGGATTTTTTTTTTCAAATTATTTTATTAAAACTTTTACTTGTAGTTTTGCTTGATCCATGTGCAAGAATTCAGGTAAAATTTTGTCCAAGAGAAAAAGAGAACAGAGATAAAAAATTTCGTGTTTCCTTAAACAATTGTAATTTACTTTTCTACTTTGGGTAGATTATTAAATTATTTTTAAGGTTTTGTCACAAAATTGCCAAAGGTGGAGATTGTGAGATATATTTTTGTAATTGGCATATTTCGGTAACAAAACAAGTCCTAGTCAAGTTGTAATTTCAGTTACTATATTAGAATCGATATCGACTGCGGAATTGGAAGGTTGCTTAGAAAAGGAAAGTACTGTTGATCATCGAAAAGAAAAGAACAACACATTAGGACATTGTTTCCTACTTAGGACACAAATACCTATAAGGTATATTTTCCAGAGTTTCCAAAAATAGAAAATCCAAGTTTAAATTGGATTCTATCAAGTGGGAACCGGTACCTACATTTGGGAACCGGTTCTAGAAGCTGAAATTCGAGAGAACTCAATTATGTCCTTTAGGAACCGGTACCACAGATTGGGAACCAGTTCCACAAGTCCTTACAAAAACAGGTTTTCAATTTCCTTGTTCTATTTGATTCTTTTTTTATTCAACTTTCCTTCCGAGTCTTATGCGCAAAATTTCCTTTATTTTCAGAAGGAATAGGATTTTTTTTTTTTTTCTTAGTTAGTACTCACACACACTGCCTCCACTGAGGTTCGAACTCCTAACCTTCCTTTGGGAAGTAGGAACCTTGTACCGCTAGGCCACAAGCCTGTTGGTGAAGGAATAGGACTTTGTAAACCTCTATATAAACCTTGTCATACACATAGGTTGAAAAATGGCTTTTGTACGATCAAGTTATCATTCTTAAAAGCCTTAGAAAGATTTTTGTTTCAAAAATTCTTAGAGAATTTTCTGTTTGTCTTTCTAGAACACATACACATAAACACATAGTGAGTTTAGAGTTGTGGTGTTCAAATCATGATCATAATCATACAGTTGCATCTACATCGATTAGACAAAAGCAGATCTACTTCTACTTCGAATTCAGACGATTGAAGAATAGAAGTAAAAGTGATCACATTTTGAAAGGGTTGGAGCATTCATGGAGTGTTGTCTAATCTACCTGTTACTCTTCTACAAATATCAAGTATAAGCCTAAAGCCATGTTGTTGTTGGACTGGGAGTCGCAAAGCCAGAGAATTGTCAGCAATTGGTGTTTGGTAAAACGATAGGGTGTGAGCTAGAGTTAAAGTTCAGTGTACTTTGTTTCAAGCATAATGGATAGGTTTGCTTTGGACTGCACAATTCACGAGATTTTTTCCACGTAAATAGTTGACGTATTTTATCAACTGGGGTTTCCTCGCTAAAAATTATGGTGTCATCTCTAACTTTTACTTTGCTTTATTTTATCTGCATGTGATTAATTATTTAATTACTAAAATAAAAAAAGTTAAAATAACATACTAAAATAAAAAAAGTTAAAATAACACAAGATCTGTTTTCAAAATAATCAAAACTTTCTAAAATATTCCGCTGGGTACAACTCACACTTGGGTCAATTCAGGCGAATCCAACCATTTCAAAATGCTCGAATGTGAGTAGCCAACCATTTGAAAACGAGAACTTTATTTTTGTCTTAAATAGCTTTATTTGATTGTGTATAATATATATATATATATATCAAATGCAGGTATACGTGTCCTTCGTAGTTTCAAAGATTATATATATATATAATATATATATATATATATATATATAATCTTTGAAACTACAAAGGACACGTATACCTGCATTTGAAGCTAAATATCCCGCTCTGCTCATTTGTTAGGAGGTTGTGCCATGTGAAGAACTCTACATGGCACGTGTAGAATTGATTTCCAAAGCCTTTCACTTTTATATGGAAATATTGTACACAGAGTGGAAAGATTCTAAAATTTGAAGAGCTTGTATGGATTTGTAAGGCGTAAGAGAATAATGAAGAAGAGTAGAGTGTCTTTTTAAGTTGTAAACATGTAACATTGATTGTAATGTACCGTAGCCCTTTATAAGGGAGGGGATATCTATAAATAGGTTAGAGCGTGAAAACAACATCTAAAGTGAGAGAGACCTTAGAACAATCCTTTCCGTATTCACAAAAACTAATAAAATAGAGTAGAGTTAAAGATGATTTCGGAATTTTACCAGAATTTTTTAGACGTGAAAAAATGTTAGCAATTAAAAAAAAGTGGTAAGAGTTTGTTTCTAATTTTTTATAATAAGTTTAATTAGTATGTTTTACATAAGGTGATTAAAACATGGATAGCATATTCAAAAACCCATAAAACTAACGAAAAAATAATAATAAAAATAAAAGTTTGGCATATGTAGAGTGATCCTTTTCATCTATGGAAATGTATATATATGATGTGTATTTGCTTATTATTTTCTGAACGATATATAAGCAAAGATATCTCCGTCCTATATTAGTTATCTTTTTCAAAAAATTTGACTCACAATTTTTGTGGGTCAAAGTTACCAAAGTAGACATCTAATATAGGATATATGTAATATATAAATATATAAAAGGAATATGACTAAAATTAACTTCAAATGACTCGAAAATAAAAAGTAAAAGTGAGTCAAAAATTTTGAATTGGACAACTAATATGGACGGAATGAACAAATACTTAGGATATCTTGTATTCATAGAAACCCAACCCTTATGAGATTCATGCCAAGTAGCCAAAGGTTCCATTGGATTGACATAGAAATTGAAAGATTCCTCAACCTAGAAAGTGGTTGATTTTCCACCTTTTTTATTTCTCCTTTTACTTTGGAATATTGTCTCTTCCATCATCATACTAGCATGTATAATTCAACTAGGTAAGCAAAAGGAAAATTATTTCCTTCTCATCCTTCCACTTTTCAGAAACTCACTGTAAACGTAAGAAGAAACTTACTGTAAACATAGTCTTCTTAACGTAGATAAATTTATTCACCAAGAATAGTTTATTTTGAATCTACAAAGTAGGATGTTTTAGATAAATTTAGAGAAATTTGATGGATGAATTTTTATAATATTAGGAAACCTAATTCCAAAAGGATGCTAATACTCAAAAATAAGTTTAAAAATATAATTTCTCTAAAAATTTTGAGAAAATAGATAAATAAACCTAATAAAATATAAGACTACTAAAAAAAAAATGAATGCGAGTTCGCTTAGACAAGAAACAAAAATTCTGAAATATTCAACAAGCTTCCTATAGGACAGAAAACCCTCATTTTGAGACCTTAAACGATGGTATTTTCCCGAAAAATAGGTAACATCGCGGTGAGTCTTACTTGTTAGGCTGTTTCTCTTAAAAAATAAAAAAACTCTCCTGTCGGGTCAAATACGGACACTTCGAGATCAGCGCAAAAATCGGTCAGTATACCCGTTTGACTCCGATAATCCAAATGGGCTATAAAAACTTCCGGCTATCAGTTCTACATCAGTTACAGTCACCCATATCATTAAAAAAAATAATAATGAAAAAAAAAAATGGGTCCTGATATGAGAATATTAATAAACACCACATGCAAACTAGCTTTTCATTATCATTATGATTTTTAACTTTCAGTCCAATCATTTATCATTAATTCAGAAACACAAACAAGCAAATCAAAAATTAAGAGCAGAACAGCCAAAAATACAAAACATACAAAGAGCCTAGTAGATGCTGAACAAACTGTCATAATTCAAACCACAGTAGAACACTCATACCCTTGTTTTGAACTCAGTGGACCAAATGCCATGCCACGTCCAAAAGGCATAATAGCAATACAGTTGATGTTAATTCTGTACCTTCCAGAAACCCAAGTCCCCACCTTCCATCGAAGCTTTCCATTCATTTTCATGCTCAGAGCCATCTTTCCCGCGGTCTGATCACGTCCCATTTCATAACCAAAACTCGAGGCCACAGGAAGGCCGCCTCCGACCAAGGAAGCTGTCAGTAGGTTGCTGTCTTCATGCCCCTGATAGAAAGGAGGAAGAGAAGTGTCAGAAGTAATCTGTTGATCCTTGTAAGTGGCGAAAACACGTAGCTCGTCGTAGTAGACGCCAACTTTCTTGTTTGGATTCTTGGAAAGCAAAGTGAATTGGATGGAGGAGTTCAGAAGGTGAGGACCTGAGATATTGAGTTGATAAACGTCGACGTCTTTGAGGGAGAATTCAGGCTTGGTGGGGTGTAGGATGAGCCAAATAAGGAAGACGAGTGATAGAATTGAGAGCAAAACGGTAGAGAATGCATACAGTAGCTTCTTGTAGTGCTTGTCAATGTTCAATCCTTGCTTAGCGCAGTGTTTGGGAGAATTTGCAAGGATTTGAGACATTAATTTGCTGTGTGTGTGTGTGCGCGCGTGTGGGAGAGAGAGAGGGGGGGAGAGCTAGTTTACAAAAAAGAGGAAAGGGAGATGATGGGGCTAATAAAGAGAGCACTGGGAAGAAGAAAGCAGCAATTATTTTGCTGATCTTGCTGCTTTTGACTGGCAGTGGACATGAGACAAATATAATGTGTTTCCAAAAACAAGAATTCTTTTCTACCAACATTATTTATTAGCTTTCATATAGTAGAAGACTATACAAAAATTGAGTTTAAGACATAAAGACTATAATACTTGACTGATTTGTTAAATTTGCTGCAATTATGGGTTTGTTTTGATTTATGCCTTTACTTCAATTAACCTTAGGTGTTAAATGTTGCATTTGAATGTGCAAGATTTTTGTTCAATATATTAATGCATATATTGAATCATAGGATACCCTTATCCCCATTTGGTTAGTGACCAATCTAATGAGAATAAAATGAAAGTTTAGAATCTTGGAAATGGTTACTTTAGTCCCAACTCTATTATGAGATTCCAACTCTATTATGAGATTCCAAATGTATATTTCTAAATTCTCTCAAAATTCATAACTAGTCTTGTGTTTCTAGAGAAGCAGATCAATCACATTCAGTGCTATGAATCATATATTTATATATATATTTTGAATGGCTGAGATTGAAATTTCAGTCATATTGCATGGTTCAGCTTTAACTCCCCATTAGGGAAAATTCCCATCATGAATATGCATGCATGCACTTTGATGTCAGACTATGAATGTATATGCTTTACAAGTTTTTACATTTTGCAGACATTGGTGATGGGTGAAAGAGGGATATCTACCTCAGCCAGAATCAGATGGGAAGCGCTTTTGGAATAATTAAAAGCAAATTAAAGTTGAGGCTTTTTAAAGTGGTGAGAGATAAAGAGTAGTCGATAGCCTTTTCCATCAATAGGAGATGAGTGAGAAATGGTGCAGTGATTGAATGGCATCTCTCACTCTCTCTCTCATTCACTTTGGTAAACAGAGTTTGTAGTCATGATTGTTGGTTAATTGATAAATTAGTGGTGTAGCAATGTATTAACTATATGAAATGAGAATATTGAAGTATTAATCATATCAAATGAGAATCTTAAAGTTGTGGGGCTTTTTTTTTTTTTTTTTTTTTAAATCTATTGAGCTATGCACAAAAAGAGTACAAAAGAGGAAGAAGACATGAAGAATCTTTAAATTGAACTTTTTGGAAGCCGTCCTAAAATTCGCTAACCTCCTTCTTAGGATCACTAATAGGTCAGTGGATTAACAGTATTAACCTCTATTTTTCAAACCTTAATAAATATATATATATATACGTGTGTGTGTGTGTGTGTGTGTGTGAGAGAGAGAGAGAGAACAACTAAGAAACAAACGTCCTTTATACTTTAATGTGTCTTGTATATACAGCCATTACTTTTTAGGTTAGAAAAAAAGGTATATATATGGTGGGCCATCCACCACTCTCAGGGAATGTTCTTTTTGGTAATTGATAAAACTTGAGGACCCTCCAAGTTGGGATCTTCAGAGGAATATTATGAGTCTTGGAAGCAAAGTCAGGTCTGAAATAAAGGGGTCATTTCTTCACTTTTGTAACTTTATTATCAATTTATCAGCCGTTTTGTCCTTTCAATTAGGAAAAAGTAAGTCCACCCCATCATCGACTAAATGACTTGTCATCCGGTCTTTTCTTTTTGAAACTTTGCTTATTGTGTTTGCTTTAGGACCAAGAAAGTTTTCCATGGGGAAATTATTAGAACTATCTGCACATAAATCTTTGGTTGTTAAAGAATTTAAAGGGTGTTGTTTTACATGGGATCCGGATGGGGAGGGTTGATATGCGCTGCATTACTCATCAAATGCCAAGCGCCTTTTTGCAAGTGGTATTAAAGTCCTCGCTTTTTACTAGAAGAGAATTTTATTGAAAAATAGTAGTAGTGACAATTGGGTAGGTTTGAAATAGTTGTAGTGACAATTATAAATGGGTTAGTAATCATTCTCAACCCACTAATAGTGAGTCATAAATGAGTAAGTGCTCAAATGGGCGGGTCAAAATGTGTTAATCAATTCTAACTTTTTTCTTTATCATTTTTTTATTTTTTTTACAAATTTTTTTTCCTTTTTTCTCTTGGGAAAAGTCACTGTACAACTTAATCAACAATATTAGTTAATTTTTTTTTTATTTCAAGAGTTTTAATTTTTTATTTTTATTTTAAGAAAAGTAACTATAAAACTTACTCAACAATATTAATTACATATATTTAAAAAAAGGAATTTTGAACAAGAGTTTTAATTAATTATTAGTCATTTATTTTATACAATAAAACAAAATTTGAAGGGAGAGTGAAGAGAGAGAGAGAGTTATAATAAATAAAAAAAGAATTTTGAGCCTTTTGAGCAAGAGTTTTAATTAATTGTTGGTCATTTAATATTTGAAGGAAGAGTGAAGAGAGAGAGAGAGAGAGAGAGAGAGAGAGAGTTATTTATCACAGGTAAAAAAGAAGAAGAAGAAAATAACCGGCGAGGAGACAGAACGCAAGGGTAAAAAAAAAAAAAAAACAGCGAGATCAGAGAACACATGTAAAAAATGAAATGAAAAGAAAAGAATTAGGGAGAGAGGGAAGAGAGAGAAATGGAGGGGAGAAAAAAAAAAGGTGAAAAAAAATGAAAAAGATAAAAGAGAAAGGGAGAGGTAGAAAACGGAAGAGAGAGAAGAGAGAGAGAGAGAGAAATGGAGGTGAAATAAAAGAGGGTTTTATTTGAGTGAGTTAAGATGGATACTCACTCTTAATCCATTAACCCTTTTGACCATTGAATATTATGGATACTCATTTTTTACTTATTGTCACCTACTCACTTACATTTGGATGCCCAAATAATTTAATTTTAATGAACGGGCTTAAACAATTTAATTAGTTTGGGCTTAAATTGTCATCCCTAAAAAATAGTAAAGTTGTGACCTTTATTCTTGACATTTTACTTTAAAAGGCTTGAAAGTATCATTAGAATACAATTTTTGGTCTCTTCATACTCCATCTAACAAGTGCATACTTGGAAATTTCTTTCTGTTTTTTTCTTCCTTTTTTTATTTGGAGTGGATATTCTCACTTTGCTTTTTTCTGTTTCCACTGAAAATGAAAACTAAAAAGGAATGTCTGTACAATTGGATGAGGTTCCCATCACTATGGTTGTAATTGGTGGAAAAGATTATGTAGCAAGAGAAAAGGTTAAAATGCAGCTCATTTCAGAAGGAAAAAATATATATATATTATATATACTAGTAGTCACTTTCTCTAGTTTTTTTTTTTTTTTCGTTTAGAAAAAAAAAGAAAAAAAGCACACATATTTACCTGTAGTACCAACTGGTAGATATATTCCACTTTTGCTATTAATTTGAAACCCTATTTACCTACAGTACCAAATGTATTGGCAGTGCAACTTCACGGGGCATGAAAAAAATGGGATGTCTACGAAAGACATTCCAAGTTACAAAAATTCTAGCATTTGTGTTGTCTACAGTTCTTCTTCCTGTGAGACCCTGTGAAATATGAGGAATTGTCTCTCTGGGTGATCACTTTCTGCAGGATGAGTGCATCACCTGCCCAGCACAGAGAAAATTGTAAAAAGTTGTTTTATCACCAGTTTGTGTGTGTGTGTGTGTGTGTGTGTGTGTGTGTGTGTGTGTGTGTGTTTCTGTGTAAGTTAATTATTCAGGGTTTAAGATGGGACTATCATTAGTAGCTTTTCTCTTTGCCTCTTTAGTGATGGTATTTAATCAAATCTAAAGAGAGAAATTTTGTTCTCAACTCGTTTTTGTTTACCTTGAGAACTATTTCACGTATGGCACTGCACTTGGTTGCTGATTGAATGTGGCCCCAAGAACCAATGAAATTCATGATGGGAAATCATGTAAAAATATTATTCAAATTTATAAGGCTGTTAATAAATTACACAGTAATATGGAGTACCAAGGATAAAATATTTCATTTGCCTCTATGATACATATTCCCAGAATGAGCTCAAGAAATTGAACAGCTTACCACAGAAATTGTTGATGTTTAGCTACTGATATATAGGACTTATAATCCAGTTCTCACAGATATGGGGCTTCTCACTGCATGCACCCCATCAGTCCAAGTCAAGCTGCCGAAAAGGTATCCTGTGCTGACCTTGTGAGTGGTAGAAATAGTGACAGTGAAGGAGACCGTCTTGATCTTAGGGGTAAAGATCAATTGATCTGGTTTTACAGCGATGTTTATTCCCTCTGGTGGCTTGACAAGGGCTTTGTATTTTGAACAAAAAGCTCCAACGTTGGTGACGGTTCTAGTTAGATTAGTGGAGCTTCTGAGGCTCGGTATGGTAATAGAAGGAAAGTTTACGTCTAGAAAAGAGGGCTTTCTGCTAGGGCAGAGTGTGGGTTTTTCCGTGAGCTGAGTGATGACAGTGTTACTATAACCCATGGCACAGAGATAATGAACATAATCCAATATACCCATGTCATACACAAGACCAGGATCACGTGCTCTATTAGGATTCACGATTCCACCTCCGAAATCAAATGGATCAGCAAGCTTAGTTGGCTCTCCCTCCGCAAAAATTGGTTCCCCGGAAGGATACGTTGTCCATGCTGCAAGTATATGATCCAATCACTTCAGTTAGGCTTTTGAACTTTGAATCATTTAGAGAACAGAGTGGAGAAAAGTCTGCAGTGCTTAATGGTTAGCAAATTATAACCTGTTGTACCAAGGGCGTTGTAGCCTAGTGGTATCTCCTCAACCTCTCAAAGTGAATGGTAAGAGTTCAAGTCCCCAACGGGGTAAATGGGTGCGTAAGTTTCTTGCCAATGGAAATAATAATAATAATAATAATAACCTGTTGTGACAATTGCAGACTTGATAGCAGCGGGGGACCAATTTGAGTGCAAGGATTTGAGAAGGGCAACAATGCCCGACACATGAGGGGTTGCCATGGATGTTCCCGATCTAAAAGCATATGTACTTTTCATTGTTGAATCAAAAAGAGGAACTGCTGCTAGTATCTTTGCTCCTGGGGCTGCTATGTCTGGCTGTGCCATACAAAGGCCATATTAGGCTCTGGTGAGTGAATTTTCAAGAAATTAAAACTGAAAGGAAGAATCCAGTTTCTGTTATCTCAACTAATCATGACTAGGTGGAGAAATACCTTAAGTACTGCCGAGGCAACAGAATTTGGTCCTCGAGATGAGAAGTACGCCACGTTGGTTGACACAGGTTCACCAACATATGTTCTGGAAGGGCTCAGCCTTACCTGGGGATACCTGAATGGCCCCAAACAACCATTTCATATGGTTAGAAGATGATGATGACAACAGTTGTAACAGCAAAGCTGGCAGTGATACCTGGTAGAACGGATGTAATAGAGTATCTGAGTTCCGATTTCATAGCTTACTTTAATACATGGGAAGTTACTGGTGCAAGGATACAGGTCATTACTGGGATTCTTAGCAACAATTACCCCCAACCCACCAGCATCTTCGACAGCAGATGCAGTGTATGGTGCTGCAGTCTGAGTGGCATCTAAAGTGAAGCAGAGCACCACTTTTCCAGCCAACGAAGTGTCATTCGGTGACAAGGATTCACAATAACTGTAAAAACACCATGCTTACTCCAAATAATGAATTGAGAAATAGTATTGACAGAGAATATCCTACAAAAATTTAGATATTTATCGAATCGACTTTATGCCACACACACATAGCATACTCTTATCAAGTATTCAAGGCCATGCCTCTTGATTGAGAAAAGCTGGATTTCGATTCAATTTGTGATAATCAATCACTTGCCCTGTTCAGTCAATTGCTGACTGAATCTTTTAGGCAGTGTACTGCCATCCAAGAGATGTGATCCCTGGTGAATTGCCCAGTTCAAGGTGCCAAAAGAACCAGGGCTCCAGTATGCAATTTAAGGATGCATTAACATGAAAAATAGCACAGCATTATCTGTAGGATTTATACCGAGGAGATACGAGATCTGAGACCTCTGGGTACACCAAGCTGACAAAGCCAGTCTCATTTCCTGTAAACATGGCTTGACCCTAACAATAATAATCTTTTGTCACAACAATGCAATTAAAGTCCCAGAATTCCTAAGAGAACAAATATATGTACTTTTTGTGTTGTGTGTGAATGTTATTTGACAGACGATCAGGTTAGCTAGAACTTACAATTAAGGTTTGGTTGTTTCCAAGCATGATGGGTGTAGGAAATGACCGATCAATGGTGCTAGCTGCAACAGTTATGACCCAAGGTGCTGCATTCTGTATTGTTTGCTCTCTCGGGCCTGAATTCCCTGCTGCACAAATGACAGTAATTCCTTCTGTAACAGCATGAAAGGAGCCAAAAGAGATCCCTGCATGCTTATCAACATCGGAGAACAAGGGTAACTCTTGGGCAATTGATAGTGATAAAACATCTACCCCATCGTGTATGGCTTCGTCAAAGGCCTTCAGCATATCAGCATCTGCACATACACCTCCATTCAAATCCCAGCACACTTTATACATAGCCAACCTAGCTCGGGGCGCACCACCCCTTACAGTTCCAAGACCAAGTCCATTGTAGCTCACATTGGTGACAAAGGAGCCTCCTGCAGTGGCAGATGTGTGTGTGCCATGTCCTATCCAATCTCTGGAGGACAAGTATTCCTGGTTAGTAGTGTTGAATGGCTTTCCATACTCAGCTTGTATTCCTTTGATGAAATAACGAGCTCCTATTAGCTTCCTGTTGCAAGACTTTGCTGCATCAAAAAGCTCTCCTGACTCGCAAAAACCCTTCCATCTAGAGGGGATTGGCCCAAGGCCTTCATCACTGAAAACTTCAGATTCTGGCCATATCCCTGCGCATCATTTCAAATTAGGTAATTGAAGAAACATGTAAGCCTGGTTTACAGGCATAGGCAGATGAATTCTTGCATATGCAGATAGATATACACAAAGGGAGAGAGAGAATGAGGGAACCTGTATCAAATAGACCAATGATGACACCATCTCCCATTTTAGTTTCATGCAGAAGATTGGCTGGAGAATGTGAAGAGAGGCCAAGGTAGTCCCAGCTTCTGGTTGTTTGCAACTTGTAGAGACGATTCGGTATGACTTGAACCACACCAGGTAACTCTACAACCAGTTAACAAACCTAGGACAATACTAAGTACACCATAACGGACTTTAAACTGCTTAGAGGAGAAACATATCAGTTTTTCATGTTATGTTTTTTGAATTCTATTGCATAATATGTTGTCCTAATCCACTTAGAAGGCCCTTCCTGCTCACTCAAGCAGGAAAGGAGCCAACTGCCATAAAAAAAATAAATAAATAAATAAAATAAAATAAAATTTGTTGTCTTGCCATTTAGGTTAAAATTATATATTATGATTTATGGAAAATACCTGAAATCTTTTGCGCTTGAGATTGTGTTAACCTGGCTGCAAAGCCAGAGAAGCCATGTTTGTAACTGTAGATCATGGATTCTGCAGATGCTTCTTTGCTGCATCATGAGTAGTAGGGTCAATCTATGTCAATATAAGGCACCAAAAAGAGGGTTAACTTCTTTTTTTAAGTTCTGAATTGCATCACACCTTCCGAGGACTGTAGCGAGCATTTCATGATGGGTACTAGTGATGATCTCTGGATCATTATGCTGCCTTTTTCCCATATAAATAATGTGAACCTGTTGATTAAAAAGGTATAGGTGACTCAGATGAGAATTAATGTCATAAAAGATGATTGAGAGGAAGGTAGTAGTGAAGTTAAGAATTCACAAGACAACTGACATTGTTTTTGCCATCTGCAGGAGTCAGTAAGATATCTTTCGCTAGAATTAGGAGTAGAGGAACCATAACATATGACAACACTGAGTTGCTGCTCTTTCCATACCAAAGCCATCTGTTCATTCTGTGTCAGTGTGGCGTTTGGGAAGGAGAGATGGACGGAGAGAGCTCTTCTTAATCACCTCTCGAGAAGACTAGTTATCACCAGTCTTTGAATAGTGAAAAAGGGAAGATCAATATGATGACTTGAGGGAACATTTTAAGTCAAGGCCTCTCATGGGTGGACTTCATTTTAGCAGAGGATGCTTTCCATGAGTCCACAAAAAGTTTGTGCAATAATGATGTCTAATCCACCACGAGTTTTACATGGAATTCACCATCTGACTGAATTGGCCTTGGCCTATATTTAGACAGGAATCTGATTGCATCAACCACAAGTGAGGGATGGTCAACTGATGTACTAGGGAATTAATTTAATCAATATTGGTACAAAGAAGACAACACTAATTCAATATTTTTTTTAGCCTAACCGTATCTCCTCTACCTTTTTTTCAAAGTAAATCGTCAAGTGTTCATGCTCCGTTGTAAACAGTTACTTCGTAGGATTTATATATATATATATATATATATATCAAAATTTCCCTCTTCTCTTTTCCTCTACACTCATCATCTCATTAGTAAGAGATGGCGGCATAGTTTGTGCCCCTTGGTCATTTTACTTTACATACATCTTTTCCAGAGCACTACTCATTTAGACCCTTCACCAGACAGAATTTTGTCTACTTCCAGACCAAGTCTTAATCATATTTGAAATCATGGGTCTACTTCATTTTTCTTTATTGTTATTGTTGTAGTGCTACAATTATGGATGTTGTTCCTTTCTTTCAACCTTTTTTCTTCTTCTTTTTTATTTGGGGTCAGGTAAGTGGAAAAGATAATTCAGAGAAAATTTATTTTAACCTTATTGCAGAACTGTTTTCAAACATTATGGAGTGCTGAAGATTGTTCTTTCCCTGTTATGAAAAACTATTCAGCTTTTAAACTGTTTTTCTCTACCATCTGCTCTCTTCTCCAAGTTAAATTTCTTTCTACTTGGTTGAGCAACAAAATTGCTTCAATACTAACAGAGTAGAGTGGGTAAAGGCATCAACAGCAGAAAAGGAGTTGTAACTCAATTAGTCTGAGTGGCCAGTGAAAAAATCAACCAAATGCCACATCAGATTACATCTGTAAGAGGATGTAAACTCAATCCAACTCCTAAGTAGGGATTTCAATTTAACCCACCCCGTCTGCCCCTATTGGGACGGATTTGGGATCATCCTAGTCGGGTTAGGAGCGGGTTTGTGAATAGAGTTTAAAACTTGCAAAGTCCCGCACCTGCCCGGATTAATAATTAATATATAAATAAGTATTTTTTTATTAACTAAAATTTGTCTTTTTCTTTATTTCTTATGATAATTTTAAATTTTAACATTTTTTTTTATTATGATTGTTAAATATTTGACTATACTAATTATTTTTTACAAAATTTATCTTAAATTTGTTCAACTTCAAATTATTTTTCTTAAAAAATATGCATATCGGGGCGACCCGAACCAGCCCCGACTCCAAAGTGGGGCGCCCCAAACAGGGTTTGAGAACAGATTATTTTTGGTTGGACGAGTTCAGGAAAGGGGTGCCCCACCCCGAACCCACCCCGTTGACATCCATGCGCCTAAGAAGGAACCCAATATAAGGATTCCATTTTTCTATCTAGGCACTCAATAATAAATTTAATATCAGTTTAGTATAACTAACTTCTTAAAATCACTCCAGTGCTGACGATAGAATGCTTAAGTTTCAAGTAAGGTCTTATTCAAGTGCAGTCTTCTTTTTGTACACAGCCTCTAAATTTTTCTAATGGTTGTGGGTACTAGTTTCTTGGACAACATGAAACACAACTGATCAATTCACTGTAAAAACTGACCTATAGTCTATTGTTCATCCTTTCCCAGCCCTTAGTAGATTTGTTAGCATGTTCCAAACGTCAGTTAAAACACATTGCAACACCTATTCATGTGTGAGTTAAAGCATAATGCCAAAATTTCAAGAACTAACCTAAAGCAAAATGTAAATTTAACCAATCAGTTCAATCATAAACACTCATAAATATTAATAACAGTACTAGTAGTGGTAGTAATCAAGTACAGAAGAAAAATGCAACCAGCACAAGAAGGCCAAAGAATTATGTGAACTCTCAAATAAAGATGTAAATCAATGGTGCAACCCAAGTAAAATTCACTTTCTTAAAAAATGAGGAATGTCAAGTTTATGTAAAAACTTGAGGCATTACAATCTTTGAGAAAAGTAAAAGTTTTACCTCCTACAATTGAAACAACACAACCTCATCGCAAATCACAACCAATCAAATGGTAGTTGTAGACAAGATAAAATAATCTTCAAAAAATAGATTTTGAACAACCAAAATAAGCCCTAAGGTGCGAGTCCAGTCTGCCATTCTTCAGAAATCTCACAAGACACTATACATACAACCGAATGGTAATCTGTGCCAATATATATGAGGCTTGTTAAGCAATCCCTCAAGGCCCATGTTGCCTTTTGGTTGCCACATGACATCGCAGTAAAGAGGCACGCTCTAATGGTTTTTGAGCTACCATACGCCCCAACACTAACTACACCAAAAATCAGTTTCCCCCTTGAAATGAATTTGAACAAGCTACACAGATGATACCTGAGTGATTTTATGCCACACCACCTCCAATCTTTTCCAAGAACACACTGTGTCTCAGGAAATCATTCGTTTCTCTATTTTAAGAACACAATGATCATCATTGTTAAGTGTTCCCTATCCAGCTAATGGAGGAGAATTGAAACCCTGTGCATCTGAATTGGAGAGCGAAAGCTTCAAGCAAGTCTCTTAAGCAACGCACATGTAATAAAATGGCGCCATTATTATATTAACCATTAACACGGGAAAACACAACTCTGTCATTTCATCTATTCGTCATTTCTATTCAGATTGTCAATCATAAGCACTGGATTCTTCTTTTTCTTCATTGAAAATCTTTTAGCAGAAACACTCAAGAGTTTGTTGAGGGACATTCCCTCCCCCAGAACATGTTTCTTTGCTTCATACCTATGTTTAATCCTGCTATCCAGCTTGTAACCAAGAAATGCAGGAAAAGCCAACAGCTCTCCGACTTCACGACCCATCTCCTCAATCAAATAGTCCATCTTCTCCTCCAAAGATTCATGATTGTACTGCAGAATCTGAGGATGCTTCTTGCTCATGGCAAGAATGTCATCGCAAGATAATCCATAGTTCAAGAACACTCCAACCACCAGCTGCAAATTCTTGCAGCTGGTTCTGGTCGCCGCTCCCATTGCCATTGCCAATTCCTTCGTTCTGTTTTCATACCCAATCTTCACCATGAAGACCAGCTTGTATGCAAGGTTGTCCTCGAAGGACAGGCTTAGAAAAAGAGGGGCTTTGATCAAGAGTCTAAAGATATCATTAGAATCCAACCCACATTGCTTCAGAAACTCTATTCTCGGCTGCAATTTTCGCTTCCTGCTAGCACTAAACACATTCGGATACACAAGAACAATCCTAAATATTTCTTGATCACTTAGGCCAGCAAATGAACGAAACAGGTCTACATGATCTTTCAAATGTTCTCTTCTGTAAGCTAAAATTGCTGGGAGTTTCCGCAACACAGTCGCCGTGGACACTTCATCTCCCCCACTAAGGTCTTTGATATACCCAATTCTTGGCATCAGCTGACTTTCCAGATCATAATTGAGAATAGCCGGGCGTCTAACAATCAAGTCCACACCGCCAAAACGGTTCAAGTAAGCAATTGTTCTATCAATTTCTTCAATTGACTTGAGACACACGGCCTTGTTAAGAATGACATTGTTAAGAACATGGACAAGCTTTTCTTGGGAAATTCCATGATGAAGAAGCAACCCAATTTTTTTCTCAAAACCCAAAAAAAATCTGGGTTCTGTCATCATGAACAGACGTTCGAGCTGGGAAGGTTCAATCTTTCCTTCTAAATCATCACGAAAAACACATGTCAATGAGTCAATTTCTTTAGCTATTAATACATCTGGGCGTTTCGTAATCAATTTACAAAGCGCAAGGCCATTGATTCCAAGGGACTGCAGAGATGAAACCCGGTTGCATATGGACTCAAAAGGTGTGAATTTGAGAACTGGGTAGTTGTCCAAAAGCAGCTCAGTCTCACTCTCATCAATTCCAATTTCTTGGAAGAGTGAGAACAACATTACATCTGAGAAAAGCAAACAAAGAATCAGTCAGGCCATTGAAGTTATAATATATAAATCACTTGTGGGAGATTTTGAGGACGATGTGTTTGATAAATTGTCTGTAAGAAATGCTTACCTATATCAGTGAAGAGGTTGGTGGTTCTGCTAATAGTGTTGCATTGGATAAGCATGTGCTTGAAATTTCGGAGACCCACTAAGGCTAATAGTGGTCTGTGTTCAGTGTTCTTTGTTTTGGGGAAGTTGACAATAGAAAACCATCCATGGAGGTGAAAAGGTGGAGAGGAAGCAACTGGGAATTGAAGTATTGGTGGAGGGTTTAGCGACCGAGAGAGGGAACAAGAACTAGAAGAAGAAGTAGATAAAGAGATTAAGGACATTGTCAGCAGAGCAACCATATCTGATTAATTGTGGTCGTCTCGTCCCTTCAGATATAGATAAGCTTCGTCGAACCCACAGGTTCACCGAGTGTGCATTCGTAGTAGTCTGGAACGGAGTCATCACACATTGACTTCAATTTCAACTATATATAGAAATAATAATGGTGACTCGATGCAAACGTGGCGCTGTGTGAGTCATTTTTTCCCAAAATATTGCTAGATTAGGTTCTCGGATACATTATTTAAACAAATGAATCGATTTCGAACAGTTTTGAGCTCGGCTTGTGTACACTAATTTATATTTGTTTTTATTTTTTTATTAAAACTACTTAATTTTTGGAAGTATAAAATAAAAATTTACTAATTCACTAAACGAGTCTGTCAAGATTGAAAGCGAGCCTTAACCAATTTTGAATATAAGATTCAAACTTTTTAAAACAATGACGAGCACGAGCTTACACAAACTCGAACAATCAAAAACTCAACTCAACTCAATTCCTTAACAACCATAGTTAGAAATGGCAAATTATTCTGATCGGATCTTTAACCCTAATTTGTGGAAGGATATTAAATATAAGACAACACTTGAGTCTTCTCTAAAAAAAAACTAAATGATGTGATTCAATATAATTTAAACACATGATCAAATTTTAAATTTTCTAAAAATTTCAAATTAAATTGAACGTAGTTAGTTGCTTTAATTTCAAAAGCAAAAGGCTATTTACAACAACAAACACATAATAAAGAATAAAGAATATTCATTTGGAATTTATAAAAAAAATGATTGTTCTTTTACATCCTTTTTTTTCCAAAAATAAAAAAATCTCTAAACTCAGCCCATGATTATGGTTTCAAAACAGTGCACGCCATCCAGCTCCGGCGCGAACCTGGGTCTCATCCTCTGCCGCTCTTGACCGTTCGTCTTCTTAACCTGCGACTGCAACTGCGAGGCAGATGAATTTCCTTCTTTGCCCTTCTTCAAACCCTCAATGGAAGCTTTCTTCTGATCCACTGCAGACGCGCCCTTCTCTGCTTTGATGGAACCCCAAGAGAGGCCAACCTTCTGACCAAGTGATTCAGCACACAAGATCTCAAAAGGACTGAAAATCGACATCATCGTGATCGTCTTCTCTGTTGAAACTGTGTGTGATCAATTGAAGTATCTTAGACAAATCTGATTCTACAGAGAACGAGGAGAGCGTGGACTTATATATAAAAGGGAGCGAATTGAACGGATTGGGAAACTTGGAAGTGTCCGAGTCAAATTGGGTTTCCAAGTCGTGTTCTTGTGGTTGGGTGTCCGAGTCAAATTCGGTTTCCAAGTACGTGTTCTTGTGATTGGGTGTCCGAGTCAAATTGGGAGGGTGAAGCTAGGAATGGTTCATAAAATTAAGTCAATACCCAAAAAAAAAACAAAAAAAAACACTCGTCAAACAAGTTTCTTGACTTGGATTTTTTTATTTTATTATTTTTTGATTGTTACTCGTAAGAGCATTTATAACAGTCTCTTAAAACACAACTTTTTTTATACAGTCACATCATTATATTTTTTTTTTCATTTATCAATCATATGTTAAGTAGGTTTGTAAAAATAATGTAAGTCCAAACATAACACAAGTTAGTTGTTATTAGGAAATATATTTTTACACAAAAAATATAAAATAAAAATAAATAATTTAAATTTTTTATATAAATTTATTATGACACATCAAATTTATATAATATATATATATATATATATATGTATATACACACATCGTGGTTGGACATACTCAAAGGGATCATCTAGTTAGGCCCCCAACAACCACCATGAATATGATACGATATAAAAGTAAGATATGGAGAAGATATGAACCGCTATATATAAATATAATTTTTATTTAAATATAGTTATCAAGTAAGAGTGTTATCAAACTTTAATTTATTTTTTTATTTTTTAATAAAATTATTGGAACATGATTTAGAAAATTATTTTATTATTGTAATAATTTTTTATATCATACGTAGTGTTATAATATTTTATTTTGAATGAACAAGTATTATTTTATATTTCACTTGTGAACATATATATATATTAAGAGTAGTGATATTTGAACCGATTTGTTACAGCGAATTATCTAACTGAATGTTTCTGACTAGTTTTTTATTTGTTGTATAAATGATCGATTAAAAAAAGCAGGTCTGACAATTTAATGTAACAAAATTAGTGCAAGAATCCTTTTCTATATATTAAAGAAAATAATTGAACATTTTACAATGTATTTATATTATTTAAAAAAATTGTCAGTGCGTGTTTGTGTATAGAAGACTTAGTGTTAGTAATGTCAGAAAGTGATCAAGGAAAAGTGTTGGCCAAGTATTGCTCAAAATAATAAACTTTCCCTCTCAATTATCGACACATACATTTAGTATTGGGCACTTATTCGAAAAGTATTCATAAAATATCGGATACTCTCCGTGGTAGAGAAATCACTTTGCATAACTTTTACAACAAGCAAAAAGAAAAATTAAGTCCACTTTGGCATAAACGAATTTTGTGGATGGATTTAATTACTCTGAACAAAAATGGGCATTCTAGGAATTGTTCATACATGTGAACTTATAATAAGTCAATAAAAAACACTGGTCAACTAAGTTTCTTGAATGGGGCCTTTTTTTGAAAAATAAATAAATAGAAAAATATATGGAGTAATAAACAACAAACAAAATGAATATATAATATATTTTACACAATAAAATTTTAAAAAGCAGAACACTGATAAGACATGAACACAATTATATATAAATATTACGTAGGAATACATTATAATTCCTTTTTCTATAAACGAGACGCTCATATTTAATTTGAAACTTTATGAATCAATTTTATTATATATTTTAAACAAATATGAAGTTGATACGGCTTTATATAATTATGAATATTTTACCTTCCACGTGACTCTTTTATTTAATTTGAAATTTTATAGATGGATTTTATTACTTTTGACTCTCTTATTTAATTTGAAATTTTATAGATGAATTTTATTACTCTAAACAAATATGGGTCAATAACAAACTAGTCGAATCAATCCATTGGTTAACTTGAAACCTTTTTTATTTGTTCACACTTCACAATTATGTAAGGTTCGTCATAAGACCAAAATGCAAGTTTTTTTATTTTATTTTATTTTTCTGTTTGTACCAAAATGCAAGTTGACGGCATGCCGATGACAGTTGGTCAAGTTGGTAGTTCTATTTTTTTTTCGAGTTAATTACAGCCATACCTCTTGAGGTTTACCTTATTAACAACCATACGAAAGTTGGCTTATTTTTGAACACTCAAATCCCTTGTCATAAATATGATCCAAACAGGACTTTAAAACGTGAGAAAAGACAAAATTACCCTTTAATAAAATATTAATCTGTAAACAACAATATCAGAATCTGTATATGACAAAATTACCCTTACAAACCAACAAAGACCTAGAATTTTCTTGTCCCACCATTGCCATCTCCACCATCTCACCACTGTCATCGCAACCTCCACCACCACCATCACCCACCACCCATCATCGCCATTACTAACCACATTTGTTATTACTTTCTAGAAATTAATAGAACTGGGCTCAATCAAACATACACATACAGACATACTGCATCATCCACACATACTACATCATATAAAAAGGGAATAGGATAATAGATATAGAGAGAAGATCCAGAAGAAAATCACCCACACACCGCCGGGAACGTATTGCATCAAGACGCCGACGGTGGCTGAGTCACCGGGGAAATTTAAGAAAAGCTAATCGACAAGGTCATCCCAGCGGTGGAAATTCCAAGATGACCTTCACCCGAGCAACAACGATGATGCGTCATGGACGATCTCTACGTCGCCACTAGTGAAGTGCTTCTCAACATGCCGATTCAAAACAAAAGACTCGCAGCTCTGTTTCCTTTCTGATTTTTAATTTAAAGAGACAGCGGTGGCTATGATTTGAGATTGTCATGGGTTCGATTGGGTTGTTCGTGGGTTCAATTGGGATGTCATGGATTAGGGGCGGATGGCAGAGATGGGGTGTTGGGGAAGAAAATGAGGGTGAGTCAGATTTTTATTTAAAAAAATTAAAAATCAAGGGCAGCCATGGTTATGGTGGTTGTGGTGGTGTGCCGCCAATGGAGTTGGCAACCACCCTTCTTCCCCTCTTCCTATTCTCTCTCTCTCTCTCTCTCTCTCTCTCTCTCTCTCTATATATATATATATATATATATCCCATATATGTATTCCATACCCAATTCAAAAAACCCAAAGAGCCATTAGATCATAAATTATAGTCCTGATACTTACCCATTAAAATGACTAAATTCATGTGAAAATACACTTCCAAGTCTACGAATATACAGACTACATTTTTGGAGGGTACATGAAATACATATCTATATACCAGGGTGGTCTATCACTTCTCGTTTCAAATCTAGATGTGAAGCGTTCAATTTTTCAAATCTAGATGTGAATATATATATATATATATATATATATGTATGTATTTATTCTATGTAGATTGTAGAGATGAAGAGGGTAGTTTAGTATTTTAAAGTTACTTAGGAGGTTAAATCGGTAACTTCAATATTTTAATGGGTTAAGTGATAAGTCAAAGGGTATTTTAGTCATTTTATCTGTTTAAGGATGTCTTTGTTAAAGGCAGCAAACTTGAGGGGTGCTATTGTTTAAAAAAAGCTTAACTTTCATCTAGTTGTTAATAAGATAAATCTTAAGGGGTGTGGCTGTAATTAACCCTTTTTTTTCCCAACCAAGATGGGTAGTTCACACTTCTTGTGTTAAATGTCTTCTTTTCTCAATATATCCTATTCTCAACACTTTCAAATCTCTTCTTTATATATGTATATTGTGTGTATAATAATTTTAATATATATTTAATATATAATTATGTGTATATATCTACCCAAAAGGCCAAAAATGTTATATTGTTTGAGATGAATATCGCATTAATCAATTAAAATTTTGATATAGCAAAAATCATGGTGGAGGCTTTTCGTGACTGTTAATTACAGTTATTTATATGAAAATTAGATTTTAAGTAACTAAAAAAAATAAAAATTGGATTATATATTTATATATGTGGTTTAATAATTAATTTGTACAATTATTTTATTTATATATATATTTTATTGCATATCTATTAATAAATTGTA